CGATTGGCGGAGAGGAATCACGTGATGTAAACAAAAAAAAGAAAAAAGAAAAACTGCCGTAGTAGTCGTCGTCGGCGTCTGCTTTTCGCTGTATTTCTTCGGTGAGTAACAAATTAAAGGCCTCCAAATTCAATCATTTTTTCGTTTAACTTTCAATAACAGAAGTCAAAGCTTCAAATAAACACGAATGCTCTTTACATCTTTGATTGTGTGTTTAATATCGGTTGATAACAGGATATTTTGACAGTGGTAGTAGTTTTCGTGCTCACATTTTGGGCGAAGGAGCCATCGGGGGCCCCAAATCTCACCGAACGCGAGAAGGACACTCTACTCGCTACATCGCTGAAGACAAAACATCATGGATATAAGTAGGCAGGTAAGATGACTACTAAAACTAAGTCAAGCCTGAGACCGATGAAGTTCAAAACAGTGACGAACTCGCCACGGCAGCTGCGAAAATGCCCGGAAATCTTCGAATAGAAGTCGTCGAGAGGTCAGGTCAAGAGTCCTTGCATCGACGGTACTCGTTGCTATCAGCAAGGTGACAGAACTGCACTGTACCGTCGTTGAACATCCGCTGCAGCCTCAAACGGACTTCAGTTTCACACTGTCAAGTTCAGAAAAGAAAAAAAAAAAAAACAAAAAAAACTCCCACTAGTACATCACATCGTGCCGATAAGAACGGTCGTCTCTTCGCATCACCTGCCGCAGCCTGCCCCGATACAGCAATGAACGAATCTAACATAGTAGTCGTTACGATTTGTCGTCACCACGAATGAAAGATATAAAGCAAAATATTCCTAAAAAATCGCGATCACCAAAAGAGTTACGGAGGACACAACAAGGCGCAACTTTCAACTGAATTTTATTGAAAACGTGTTCCGGTATATAGTCTCACAGCCGAATTCATAAACGGGCCTCGACTCGAACTCGACTCAAACTCGACTCGAAACTCCACTCGAGGCCGGTTTTGCGCTTCATAAACCGACCTCCACTCCAAACGCTCCTCGACTCGAGGAAATACTCGACTCTTTCCTCGAGAATCTCAAGGTAGGTCCGGCGCTTCCTCGAGCCGCTCCTCGACTTGAGTTTGGGGTGTCATGGCGGCCGGCGAGTCGTTCGCGGAGTTCGTGCACTTCGTTTTAAGCGCAGAAGAGATCCTCTACGACGCCGCAGGCGACAGCGAATCGAGACGTGTGACGAGACGAAGTTTCAGAGAACGCCTGAACCCGCTGGAACACTTCGGTGACCGCGGATTTCCTGTGCGGTGCCGCTTCACGAAGGCGACCGGCGAGCACTCTGCTGTCTCTGCCAGGAGCGCGAGTACTCAGGGCCTACCGCCCTCAACGATGCTGCAGCTCCTCGTTGTTTTGAGCTTCTATGGGGCCAGGACGTTCCAAGTTGTTACGGGAACCATGTGAACATGCAGCAGCCGACCGTGCGCCGGATTGCGGAGCAAGTTTCGCGGCTCCTCGCACGGACCATTTTCACCCGCTCGGTGAAGCTCCCGCAGGGCGCAGCGAACTTCAATGCGTTCGTGCGGGGCTGCTGCGAAATGAAGTTTCCAGGGGCGACTGGGTGCATTGATAAGAGGACCCGACGGTCCCGATGTGGAAGTGTTCTCGAAACAGAAATGGATACTTCTCCATCAACGTGCAGGTAAGTTCACTTCTGTTGTCTGCGTTAGGAGTGCCAAACTTAATTAATCAAACTGTACGCCGAGATGCGATATCGTAGGTCTCAACTCTGACGTAACGATATCAATCAAAACTTTAAAACAAATCTGTATCAGGCGACAGTTTGCACGACCGAGCGTGAACGTACTCCCGTTCTTATGAAGAAAAAAAAATGTCATTAAATGGTTGCCGACTCTTGTGAGAGCACAGAAATACGTTAAAATAAAACGAACTCCCGATCGGGTTACCGAGCACAATGATAGTAGCGGCCCGAGCGCACCCTCCTTGCAAGAATGATCATGACCAAAGCACATTTCCAGCGAATGTGGGATCAGACGATGTGTGTTGCAACACAGTCTCATCCCAGATGAACCTTTTTGATCGTCAGATTCTCAGACATGAAAACTTAAAATAAAATTAAGTTAAAATTGAAAATGATGAGCAAATGTTTACTTTCTACATACACATGAAACCATTCATTTGCTGGCATTCAGTAAGTTGTCTGTGCAATAGTTAACTACAACAGTCCCATATGTAAACAGTTTTTGTGTCTGCATGTGCTTGTGTCGTGTAAACCAAACTGCACGGCGAACACCCACTGCTCAATAACATTTGTTGAGGTTGGTTGGTTGTTGGTTCTTGGCATTTGTTGCTTAAATGAGACCGCGGCTTACGAGTCCACAGAAATATACAATAATGTAGGAAACATACGCCGATACCACACCATTCGCAGATTGACATCCTTCGGCAAGCAGCAGAGTGTACTGAAAATACAACTAGTACCAAAGTCCATATCGTACAGCATACCACTTGAACCGGACTGATGCATGCAGCCATCTAAAAGAGACTTTCTGAAGCTTAAGATGTGCGCGAAGGACATTATTCACTCTTGACGAAAAGCTGTGTGTACATCTGAAGAAGAGTGTTATCATACACAGCACTTTCTATCGAAAACAGTAGTCTGAGCATTAATCGGGCATACACTACTCCACAAACCAGTCCCACATTTTCTATTCAAACAATAATTGTGCTGTATTGTTCTTCATTTTTGTCTTATGTAGGTACCAAAAGGCCCACTTCTGGACTAGGAACTCGATGCAGCGGGCCTAGGCACTTTCCGTGCCTCGACATGTGCTAGCAGCACAAGCCTGAATGGTCAGCTGTGATGATCACTGGTGAACTTGCACTGCAAAACTTGGCCCACCTGCAGAACGAGCCACTTCCCGCTCTACCAGTCGCACCCCCCACGGACGATGCTGAAGGCAATCTCATCTCCCATCGACTCCAGACCCTGTGGACACATTCAACGGGGCATAGGTGCAGGCTCAACTCGTTGTGTGGTGTTTCCAGTAGGAACTGAATGCAGAGCATGTCCTTTTTAGCTTAGGTCACCGAAGAATCAAGTCACTGGCCATGTTAAAGCTCAAAATGCAATCGCGCCAGAAACAAATCAACCTTATACTATGGCCACACACTTTCTAATTTGAACCGAAACAAAGTCGCCGGTTTCTCAGCTAGTTGGTCACCACAGATTGTTGCAATGTCTTTGTTCTACTCAAGTTCCCGCTGGACGACAGTGTTTGAAACTATGCTGGTGGTTGCTGTTTTACCAATCTTCCAAAAAAAGCAAGACCAACTTGCCCTCTTTGTTGTGGAAACATTTTGCTCGAGAACAATTCAATATTTGTCATCACACAAAGCAGGGGGGTAGCAGGATACAAAGAAAGTGAGAAGCTTCAGGTAATTACATTAAAATAACTCGAAATTTTGCCGTGTTCAGACTCGAGTCTTTTCAGCGAGTTGTTCAGTGCACATTTGTTCAAAATAAACTTATACATGAGAATGTCTGAAATGATGTCTTGCAGCTGTGACCCCACATGAAAAGTTTTCGGTTAGAATAAATATTACAATAGCGCAGCAATTCCTTGTGAGGACACCTTCGGATGTTAGGCAGTCAAGGGTGTCCTACCTAACAGTTACTTACACAAGCATGCGGAGCCCATGCACTCAAACTGATGGCATCACACTACGTATTACTGAATGCGAGCATGAATGAGGTAAGCACCGTACCAGGGTTTAGCTGGAACCGCTGCTCAATTACTGTATCACTGTGTGGCCAGCTGCAAACTTCGGCCCAATTGCTACGTCGGCACTGTAGTAGTGTGCAGCGAAAAGGCAGTGAAGTCAAATTTGGGGGTTTTACGTGCCAAACCAACGACAGGCATCTGGCACGCCCCAGCAGAGAACTGAGGATTAATTTCGACCACCTGGGGATCTTTGGACAAGCAACCAAAAGCTCTGGGACACGGCGCCACCTCCGCAATGAAAAGGCAGTGGGCAAGCCTCGTCAATGTGGTGTCGACTTTACTCTGGTAGGCGGTGCAAGTTCATAGAGGATTGCGAGGCACAAACCCCTGGACAGGAAATGAGACCTCTTAACTCAATGAAAACCATGGCAAAACTCTGTGACAACATCATTTAATGAGCGAGGCTGCACATGGACTGCACACTAATAAAAGAGACATTACATAAATAATAGTGGCAATGTTTAGGAAACACCTGGCTGTACATTCAAACAGATTCCTAATATCCATCAAGGGGATCCGTGGTCAACTGCATTAACGGATCACAGCTTGGAGCACGTGGAGTGAAAGCTCGCACAGCTGAACATAGGAATCTTGAGTTCAATCTCTGCCTCTGCCCGCATCGATGTGGATGAACATTGTAACAGCATGCGGTTGTGTATCACTACTGAGATTTAAGTTAAAGACCCCAGGATAGCTGTGGTACGACACTGGCTGAATATCTCGTCTACAGTGGAGATAAGTTGCTCACTGGGGCTGACTAACTTCCCGTTGTCTAAACATACAAACAATGTAATTAGTAAGAAAAAAAATACTCTGTTACTTTTTAAGTTTCAAAAGAATAGATTTAAAGCTGACGTAACTGCCTTTTTGCATAAAATGTTCACTACAAAAAGCGAATCGAGAAACAAGTTAAAAAAAATGCTAGGCTTTAACGAACGAGATACGGTCAAAACTTGTAACAACTTCAGGTCAGGGATAAAATGAAGCAAGTTACAGACTTTAAAAAAGCATTCTTAAACACAAAAGAGAATGGTAATTACTAAAGAGGAAGATGAAACAAATCGAATAAATCAGCCTACTGTTGTGGCTGGGCCCCAAGAACAAGCAGTTGTTGCAGCGTGATTAGTTTATTGAGCTGAAGCAGCTCAAGCTCGAACCAGCTTGTTACGCTGCTGCTGATGGAAAACCTGGGCCTGCGTCTGTTAATAGGCAACCTGACACTGACGTAGCTCCAGCTGCAGCAGGTGCAGCTCCTCCAGTCGGTGCAGCCTTTAGTTGTCTTCACTCGGACAACCACACGTGGCGGCTGAGGAGGTAGAGGAGGTGGGGGCTTGGTTGGTGGCGCAGCAACCGCAACCTCCATGATGCCACCCCAGTCCAGCAGCGGTGAGGCAGGTGAATCTAGGCAAGCACAACACATTGACGCCGAGTGTTACAGGCACGGTGAAGACACCGGAGAACTGGTAGAAACTGTCACAACGACCTCATTACAGAAATGTTAAATGCCAACTGTTGGTAAACATTAAAGTTTTCCTTCCTTGTTCTGACCCTTTCCTTTCCGTGATACTGTCAGTAGCGGCAGGGCAGACTCCAAATGGTGATACCCTCAAAAGAAACAGCGCTGTTATCTCAGACCTTGTTGGCCCTCGGGCACACGTGTGGTGTATTTGTCAACATGTCAATATCCAGACCCAAGGAATTTACCGTGTTCCTACGTGGCACCCCTAACAAGTCGCATTCATGAAAATGTGGCTCATTGTCACAGTTTTTAGCGTTCCTACGAGACAGTATGCCAAAATCGAAATAATAAACGGAAGAGCATAGACAGATTTTTTTATAAATAAACATTGGAAGCTGTGTGATCAAGTAGCAACCAACCTCCATGGGTACGTAGCAAATGCAATCGAAAACTTTTACCAGGCATCATGCCAGTCGTCATGCTCGTTCACTGTGGCTTCGGGAATGGCGGCTGGCAGCATTGAGAGCACCGGCCAACCAGCGCGGGCGCTGCCACTGTTGTATGGGCTTGGCAGCCGCATTGCCATGTGGGACACCAATGCACCCACAAGATGGAGGGACGGGCCCATTGTTCAGCGGGTGCGATACCAGTGCCCCCTCCTGCAATGAAAGGCCAAAGAATATCCTGTGACAGGATCCATGAAGAGAGATGTACAGAGCACAACGCAGAAAGAAAAACAAATCATACTACAACTTATGCGGTACAATTTGTTGTTCGACACTTAACTGCAAGAAATAAATGCGAAATAAGTGATCTCATACCTGTGCTGTTTCTTGATATGCATGGAAAATACTGGAGTAGCTTAACGTGATCATCGACAACAGTCATATTGTAGACACAACTTTTCAAATCAATAATGTATACTTCTACCCATATTAAATTTTTGCCAGCTTAATCATGCCAGTACAATGCGCTGATTAACCTAGCAAATAAATGACAATGGTTGCACACTAACATGGACACCTGAAAAAAGGCATCTGTCAACAACTGGACTCCAGCACGTCTCATGTTCACATAATGGCATTTCTTTGGAGGTTAAAATTAAGAAATGAGAGCTGGTAGTCAATTAAACCTGCACAAGATTTTTTTTTCTTCAAAAGATTAGCACACAAGGAGATGAGGTGCTAGGTCCAATTGACATAGTGGAAACTCCTACTTAGCGTAACTTATACGTGCACTAGTGTCAGTTTCGTGCGTCGCGTTTGTTTTTTTTATACGTCCAGGTTGCCACTCTAATCTCAAGAAAGGGGCCGGAGGCTAAGGTAGTGTGGCGCAACCAGAATGTTCGCAGCGTAATTTTCGCTTGGATATAGCACAACACGCAAAGTAAGTTGTCGAAGTCGGCACAAGAATCACCAAAGATAGCGCCAATTCACCGTCACTGCCCACCTACGGCCTCGACAGTAACGTGCTTGACTAGTTGCAGGTGGCCACAGCAAAGTCCCTTCCAGGGTTAGTTAGTACACACGTCCTGTCATGTGATTTTGCGAACCCGTTGCGTTATTCTGCCCAAATATAAAAATTGCTTACACACCTGTTGCGTGGATGCCCCGATTCTTCTCGGAGTCTGTTTTCTTCCACTTGGGTTTACCGTTGTCCCAACACTCGCGGGCGGACATGCGGCTGGCGCTTATACTTGGTGCAGACTCTTCTACGCGTCAATTTTAGCTTCTTTCGGGGAGTTGTTAGTAGAACGACGAAGAAGCTCCCCTCCTTCGTGGAACCACTCGCCCCTTCTTGTCACCTTCGTTGAACGACATCGTTGTTGGGCAAGGCACTCTAGTAAGACTCTGAAAAAAGAGGAAGGGTGAAAATGCTCGTTCTAGGCGGTGACAGAGAAGCAGATAAGCGGTGAGACGAGGTGAGACGGCGAAGAACGGACGAGACGCAGAGACGAACGACGATAGCGAGCTACAGCTACTCAACTGCCTCTACGACGCAAAAGCTGGAGAGCGGCCGCCACCGTTGCCAGACTGGAGAACGCTTGTGGCTGTTTGTCCGAAAACCGGCCGCAACGCATAAAACACGCGCGCTGCGAAGCAGAAATCTTGCAGACTCCCAATTCAATGTTAGTAAAATGTGTCCCTTCAAATAAAATGAACTAATATGTTCATAATTCACACCACAATATTGTTTTCAATTTCGTTTTTTACTACAACCTCGTAACCAGACGCCTTTCACGTCTCCTCGAGTTTCCTCGAGTGGAGGAAGTGTTCTCGAGGAGCTCCTCAGCCGAGGAAACGCCGAGGCGCGTCTGTGAAGCCCGATGGCCCCTCGAGTGGAGGCGAGCTGCTTTCCTCCACTCCAGTGAGTCGAGGTGGAGTGTCGAGTCGAGGCCCGTTTATGAATACGGCCGTTAATCATCGTCACAATGACAACAAACGACAAAAGTAAAGGGAAAACACCATCACAGAGCACAACTCGGAAACAACAGTATCTCGTTCTCGGGAAACGAATGAAAGATATAAAGCAAAGTATATAAAAAAAATGCGATCACCAAAAAAGTTACATTTTGGAACGATACAGTTTTCTGAAGCCAAGATTCTACTCGCGAGATAAGAAAGATTCACTGAAGATCGTCTCAAAACTCAGAAAACGAAAGAAATTGAATTTTCGCTGTTTTATTACTTAAAAGCGCCGCAATCTAATGCAAACGGCAGAGGTGTCGACAATCAGCTGATCGCCGAGATCATGTACTGCCACTATTCAACGCGCTGATCAGATTGAAGGATACGCGCTGCAAGTGTAAATAAACAAGGTGGTAAATAACAATACGTTACAGCTATGCAAAAATAAGTAAGTACATACGAGTAAGCTCGTTGACAGAAGAACCAACGGGAATACAGACGTGAGCCCCACAGCTCCGTACGTTTCTCGGTTAGGGCTAACACGCCCTGAAAGTGGAGAGCCAACTTGAAAACAGGGGTCGATAAACACTTCACACGACAATATTTTGCATCCTTGTCACAATCGAAGGTCATTTTGTCGAGACTTTCACGCTGATGTAGCCTAAAACACTTTGCACAACCAATTTCGTCCACCGCGTCGACCGTGACAAACCAGCCGCCATGTTTTTAATCCAGGATTAAGAAACAACCAGAAGCAAAGCGCCCAATGTTGGGCGCTTAAGTTAAGCGTAGTTTAGTGCTAGGTTTAGCGATAAGCGAGTTTGGTGCAACCGAACGAAACCGAAACTAAGCTTAAGTTCCCGGCTAAGCTCCGCTTTGCGCTAAGCGACGTTGGTGCAACCGGCCCTAAACCACATATGCTCTCGCAACAAACAGTGCTGTGCAGAAGCACAGTGGAATTTACTCTAGCTTTATAATGCAGCACAAAATGGTTGACTCCAAGTATAGCTACTTTTGTGACTCCGTTTAACCAAAAGCTCTGCCGAAACAAACTTGCCGCCTTATAGGTAGTGCAAAAGAACCTCGCGTGCCTAACCTGGAGAAGGGCATTTTTTTTTCATAGGTCAATTTTTCCTTAAACCAATACCTTCAGCCTCCTTGAAATGTTAACATTATGTGACACACGGAAGAACAGTAAACTCTTTAATGTTGGCGAACCTTTAATTTTCGCGGTTTTTAATTTTGCAGAATTGAGTGGCTGCGATTATGTCCTCTGTGACCGATTCGAGAAGAAATAGGGGCCACGAAGATAAGGGGGTTTTACTGTACATCGGAGGAAAGAGGAAGTCACTTATGTTTGTATGCAGGAGTAAAACCAACAACAACAATCATGGTGTCGACACTTTGTAAGCCTATCTGTGTCTATTGAATGATATCAATTTTGTTTTAGTTCATTAAACATTGTTGCCTGTACATTGTGGGATGTCGTCTTCAACACGAGCAGTGGTTTTCTTCTCAAGCAGGCAGCATGGACGCGTGCCGCAGCACAACATAGTTCATTTGCAGGTGGTACCGCAGGTCGAAGGATGGTTGGCACAATATGGGGGAATCACAATTCAATGTTCTACCTCGGGCGTAGACAAGATTTGCTTATTCTAAGTAATTTTGTCTAAAAATCTGGGATTTGCGATGAATGTACTCGCATGGTTGGAAGGGCCAGACAAGCCTTGTGAGCGCTTCGTTTTCTAGCGTCTCAGTCCTGAACCCACTCACGCACCACATGTGTAGATGTTCCGATAGGTGGGAGCACTTATTTGGAAAATGGTGAATGGCAACTGTTATCTTTATCAGACTTCTGTATTATGGTCAAAGTTGGACTGCATATTTGCAATACTTTTTCTCACTTAAAAATATGTCATACTAAAATATGTAGAATAGCCGATGACAAAAAGAGAATGGCTGGGCGTCCTCCAGCACGTGGTTGTGCTTTTCACCCCGCTTTGGACAGATGTGCTTGCTCCAGGCTCATGAGGCGCTGAAACGTCATCGAAGGTAGCAGACGGGCTGGTGGTGGAACAACGGAGACTTCTCCCTGCCTTTCTCATGCTGTCAGTGAGCGTGTACCTCTATACTCTAACTTAGCTTAACCTGCACAGAGCTGAGGAGAATAGGCTTGGCGAGTGCCCTTACTGCATATGCTGAGGTAGAATAGCCGAGGTACAGCTGGGGCACTTTCTGAATCAAGAACATTGTGTATCTTACCTTCAAAAACACATCATTTTGGGGGTGCAAAAGGAATTGTAAGGCATATCTTCGTTTGTATTGTCCTATTACGTATCGCAGGCACGTAGCCAGGGGGAAGCTTATGAGGCCCGCCCCCCCCCCCCCCCCCCCCCGATATCTTCCATTTTGCATGGGTCCTCCTTTCCCCCCCCCCCTCTTACAGCGTTTTGTTATGAGGGGGCCCCCCCTGAAACAAAATCCTGGCTACGTGCCTGACGCATCGACTTCAACTTAATGCGGAGTCGACCCACCCTGTTGATAAATTTAATGCCTTCCAGGTAATTTGTTTTGCATTCAGTTAATATACCAGTATTCAGTTAGGTATCCCAAGTCATTAGTCGCTGAGATGCAGTCTCTCTGCAAGTCAGTCATGTTTAACATTCATAAAACTGCTTGTCAAATAATGGCACTGTCGAGGACATGTACTCGGCTCGAGTAATCGCTGTGCACAAGCTGGTCGTGTGGTTACAGGCAGCAAACATCCCGGTTGGAACGTCCTACCTCGCAATGTAGCTGAAGACTAGGTCAGGGCCCCACTCACAAACGTCTATACTTTGCATCTCTTTTAAGCTGGACCACTTTTGACACTACAAGCCATTGCAGCAAAAACAGTGTGAGACATGATTATAAGCTCGACGTACCATGGCATCCAACTAGAAGGTCACATGGCTTGCAGCTTCTGCCGTGGTTAACTTTAAACTGAGATAGTTTGGAATAATGCTCCCGGTTTTTAGTGTTGCCCGGCACGGTTAACAATTTGGTGATATAGTGCTGCATTGAAAAATCTGCATTCGTGACTGTATCACCTTATGAATGCATACTAGCTATTAAACTCTCCATTCTGCAGAGAAATGAAATGCACTTTGCTTCCAAGTGCAGCTACTTATAAAACTTCATGGTATGAAGCACCTTATGGCTGCAAGCTCTGACCGATCTTGTTCTCTGGTCTGCGCAGGCCCATTGCAGGGAGTCACTCCGAGAGCCTCACCAGAGGTTCCTGCCCGTGGTCGTTCTAAATTTTTTTGTTGTAGGTATGCATCCTTTCTGTCTTTCCCTTAATTGTACTCGGGCGTTTTCTTTTCATTGTCGCAGATTTGCCTCAAAATTGGTTCAGCACAAAAATGGATGCTGTACAACTGTATCCCGCATATTTTGTTCAAGATAACTTTTCTTTGCGAAAGTTAGATTTTTTTTTATGAAGGTTAGTCTTTTTTTGTTTTTATTCACAAATTTATTTGAGTTTCCATGGGCAACAACGTTATGCCAAGGGCAAGGCCAAGTTCACTGCTCTAACTTGTTCTCAACTGATTGCAAGAAATTTTGTTAATGTCGTGAAACCTCTTTCCAGCACTTGCTTTGCAGCATGGAAACAAATTATACATGGGACATACTCTTCTTTAGACTGCTTGTTCATTCTGCAGGTCTGCCTTCTATAGATGTCGTGCTACTGGAGAGCAGGCAAATTCGATTGTTGGTTTTGCCATTGCTTTTTTTTTAGCCGTTGTCTATTTTGACTAGTTAGCTGAAAATAATGATCTAGTACCCTTTAGTCAGTAAAATAGATAGTGTGTGCCGCTGTTAGTGTCAAGTAGAGATGCACGCTTTTTAGGCATTTTGCGCAGAGTGGTACCCATTTTTATTGGTTAGCCTCTTGGTGCGCCAACTAAACTCTTTCTATCCAGACACCAGCCCTTTGCTTTTATTTGGCAGGCTCTGGCAATAAAATAATATAGTGTTATTCCTCGGTGGCTTAAATACCTAAAGAAAGAAGTTTCTTCATGTTTAAACGCAAACTTTTATAAAGGCAAAAATGAATTAAGCCAGTAGCAGACGACACATAGCCTCAGCAGCCTTGGCTCAGGGCCTTGTCCTGGGGTGTGTCTATGACTGTGGCTGTGAAGGAGCAGTTTTTTAATAGGTACAAGTACAAAGTATAAAAACAAAAGGATCTATGTGCTGATCATGAAAGAATATGCTAGCCATTCTAATGTAGCTCTGCCAAGTACTTGATTGTGATTTGTTTTTATTTCCAGCTACTT